ATTACCATTGCTGCATGAATCGACCAAAGACAACATAAAAATTACCATTGCTGCATGAATCGACCAAAGACAACATAAAAATTACCATTGCTGCATGAATCGACCAAAGACAACATAAAAATTACCATTGCTGCATGAATCGACAAAAGACAACATAAAAATTACCATTGCTGCATGAATCGACCAAAGACAACATAAAAATTACCATTGCTGCATGAATCGACAAAAGACAACATAAAAATTACCATTGCTGCATGAATCGACCAAAGACAACATAAAAATTACCATTGCTGCATGAATCGACAAAAGACAACATAAAAATTACCATTGCTGCATGAATCGACCAAAGACAACATAAAAATTACCATTGCTGCATGAATCGACAAAAGACAACATAAAAATTACCATTGCTGCATGAATCGACCAAAGACAACATAAAAATTACCATTGCTGCATGAATCGACAAAAGACAACATAAAAATTACCATTGCTGCATGAATCGACCAAAGACAACATAAAAATTACCATTGCTGCATGAATCGACCAAAGACAACATAAAAATTACCATTGCTGCATGAATCGACAAAAGACAACATAAAAATTACCATTGCTGCATGAATCGACCAAAGACAACATAAAAATTACCATTGCTGCATGAATCGACCAAAGACAACATAAAAATTACCATTGCTGCATGAATCGACCAAAGACAACATAAAAATTACCATTGCTGCATGAATCGACAAAAGACAACATAAAAATTACCATTGCTGCATGAATCGACCAAAGACAACATAAAAATTACCATTGCTGCATGAATCGACAAAAGACAACATAAAAATTACCATTGCTGCATGAATCGACCAAAGACAACATAAAAATTACCATTGCTGCATGAATCGACCAAAGACAACATAAAAATTACCATTGCTGCATGAATCGACCAAAGACAACATAAACATGACCATTGCTGCATGAATCGGGAATCGTTACTGAGGTGGCACAGATTTGGTGAACTTTGTTTTCTGGCATCCGTCACAATGTGACGAAGGTGTGGACTTGGCAGCACAAAGTCACAAAGCCTGGGACGATTCTTTAGGAGTGTAAGCTGGTTCCCTAGACAGCAAATCGCATCACTCCACGCATCTGGACCACCCAAGGGAACACCATAGATGGATGATACATTTTGGCACTAGCAGCATCCCAGGAGTTGTCGGCATTTTCCCCGGTTACCGGCCATGTTTGGGACCGATTAATAGACTAATCGGCCTCATGAAAATACTCCATATGGGACCGAATAATGGGCTAATCGGCCTCATGAAAATACTCCAGATATCAAATGTAAATCTAGATAAAGTCAATAACATATAGAAAGTTTTATGGCATTTCAATTACTTGTACCAAATGATGATGTACAAGACTCTAAGTCTAAGCATGATATCATAACATTATGTCTCTCCCCCTCCCCTCCTCAATCACCCAGTTAAGTTGACTGTCGCTATTGTTTTCTGTGACGTCGTCAGTCATCAGTGTCTACACAAGAAACGGTGACATCATATAACATTCCGATTTTTTCCTGAGGACTTTTATTGCTTGATATGGCGCATAACCAACTCTGAATTCACATCCACCCGGATCAACTAACCAACAGGCCGTATCAAAGAGAAACTCGACCTTACCATGTCCAACAAAACCTCAAAATTTCAAAGAAATGTACCAAAGAAGCAACATGGCCATTTACAGGGCAAATTAATTATTTTCTTGACACCACCCCCACCCAATCTAACAGTAAGGTGGGGCAGCAGATGGAGCTGAGTCCTATAAACTGAAGGGCATTTTCGGCTTTTTCGTTGGAGGTTGTGGCCTGCCGAGGTCTTGCTCTGTCCTAGCCATGTCACTGTACTGATGCAGAAAAAAATAAAATGCTCCAGTAATTTTGTCAGTTTTTACTTTCCCATGGAATTGTGGAAAGGGTCTAAGTCTAAGTGTGCGGTGTGTGGAAAAAAAAGAAAGACAGCAGAGTAGTGCTTTCAATGTCTGCTATCAACTTTGACAGTAAAACAACAAATACAACGAAATAAGGCCAAAGAAATCACAAGAGAACTTATGGTAGGAAAAAATAACTTGGCAGTGAAAAAACCGCATTTATTGTTTGTTCCCAAGGCCCTCAACTCAAATTGATTTCCCACAACAAAATACAGTTCATAAATTTTTAATATACGTTTAATAAAAAACACACACACATAAATGTAACAATGGTAATCAAGTCTCCTCTTTACTTCATCATTTCATCAAATTACCCGGGACATTTACTCATTACACTTCATGGTAGTCGTGCACTCAATACCTGATCTGTTAATTATGCTGTCGATTTCTGGGTAACACGATTGTATGCACCACCAAAACCCCAGAGGAAAACGACTCAAAGGCAGATGGATAGATGAGGTGGAAAAAAGATGTACAGCAGCTGAGAATCTAAGCGTGGAGAAGAAAAGAATCAGCTAGGTCTGAGTGGAAGTAAGTGGTGTGAGGGAAATTTATTTCAAAAAATATTTTAAAGCTAAAATTGTTTTTCTTAAAACTTTTTTCAGCACAAGTAGCAGTTTGATGATATCAAAATAAAACAAAACAGAACAATTGTGAGCAGTTATTCCCCTTTTTAAAAAAACAAACATGGAGTGACAAGAAAAAAACTTATCAAAAGAGTAACACCAAATATTGTCTCCCTTACATTAAAAAGAAACAAAATTGCCATTAAAAATTATTAATTTCAATAGCAAAAAAACAATTGTATATAGAGCAAATGTGGAGGGAGTACAGTGATGAAACTGTTGTTTCATTACAATGGGAAAGACGGTCTTGTAGTTACAGTAATAAAGTAACAAGCTCTGGACATCTTGTTTATTTCAAGTACCAGTATCAATCACAGACAACAAAAAAAAAAAAGATCTCACATTAATTTTGTTTGCAAATCTCTTTTCAGTCACCGAGAGTGAGCATTAAGTTAAACATGTTAAGAACGCTTCAGATTATTTTTAAAGACGAGAACCTAAATAATACCAAATATACTTGTCCCCTTTAACCATGGTTAACAATACTCTTCAAAATAATCATAAAAAACATCAAGATTCCTTGTTGAGGCGAAAGTTTGCTGATCTATTTTAAGGTGCGAACTGCACAAAACATTTTCCTTAAAAACGTTGAATACCGGCACACAAAGAAATGGATAACTGAGGCCTGTCCAGGTTATTTAATTTATGCATTTATATTTTTCCAAAAGTGTAACAGAAAAATCTAATTTTTATCTGAAGAAAGCCATAACAAGTATTTAAACCCAATACACTATTTCAGATTTAATCACTAGAGGGGAGTTAATGAATACTTCATTTAAAACAAGTTCTAGACAACTGTTTTTTAAAAATAAAATTAAAAAGTATTTACATTTTTATGAGGATTTCAACAGATCCAGATTGGCTTGCAAATAAATTGTTTGTACTTTCTTCATTTTTAAAAATAATTATTTCGGAGCTGTGAAAACTCTTCTTCCAGTTTACGAATTTTTAGAAACTAGTATTTATAATTTCTTATTACATCAGTTGAAAAAACAATGGCATTGGTTAACTAAAAGCAAGGAAGAGTAATTAAAATTATATTGAAAATTTTGTTCTCAAAATTTCTTATGGAATATATTTTGATAGATATAATAGAGAAATTAACAGATACAACTGTTCTAATATGCCAATAAATAAAATTATGACTATAAAACTTTATATGATGAATTAAATATTTTAATGGTAAACAAAGGGTTAAAAATTTTATGAATTTATTTCTAAATAATACAAGTATCACAAATTTAATAAGTTACCATTGTTGTAACTTGAACAATGGCTATTCGGCAATACAATGCTGAAAGAGATCTTTATATAAACTCACAAACGAGCAACATCTAAATCAGAGGTGGGTACTGGACCACTTGCGTCCCGGTGAAACGTTGAAAGTGGCCCGTGAGACCTTCTGGGAACCGGATTAATGTTTTCCTAAAATATATACATTTCCGATGATTATCTTTAAAAACATTGAAAATGTATAATTCGTAGCGATAGCATTTTCAATCAAAGTATAGGTCTCAGTCGACTGGCACAATTCTATACTATGCATTTCAAGAAGTATTTAGATTCTTGACTATTGAAAACTGTTTAAAAACTGTTCTTAGCTACGTAAGTCTCATTAAATATTTTAAAGGTATTTAACTTAATACTAACAGAGCATAACGATCTGCTCTATTAGTTATGAGTTATTAAATTTTATCCGTTAGTTATCATTAGGCGATAATTATTTTAAACTGATCAAAACTATGTACAATGTATTGTCTAGATTCCTGATCATGTGGCCCGACAAAAAGAAAAATTCTTCAATGCAAAGCTCAGCACAAGAGGGTAGACCACCCCTGAGCTAGATGATGCGTGTTGTCAGTAATGCAGCAAAATAAACGACCTCAGATCTCATTTTTTGGAACAATAAGAAATGGCAGAGTTCTGAACTTTTCCTGTATCTGGTTGTAAGCATTTCCTCTTTTCAGCAGTTTGGTCCCAGTTCAAATGAAGTGGTGACTATTTTTTTTTCTTTCCAAAAGATAAATTTGGACTTGGCTTCATATAATACAGAACTCCCTATCCACTTTGTGTTAAACTATTAGTGGATGTTTAAAACTCTTTTAATGATAATGTTAGAAATAGATAAATGATGGAAAATTTAGGTAACAGATAGTTTTATTCAAATTGATGTGAAGCATAAAAATACTGAGATTTCATAAGTTAATAAATATAAAATGCCACCATTAATAAATGTTCAAAAATGAACATCCACCCCAAATTTAAAAGTAATGATTGTGCTCTCATTGAGTATTTGAATGTTCTTGTAAATCAGCTACACCAATTTCTGTTATTGCCCCTTGTATATTCCTGTACGTGTCAGATGGGAGACAAGCATCAGCAATGATGGCATCAACATCCTTTTCTGTCAACTTGTGGTAGCCATCTTCTTCTGATGAGATGAGATGTGGATACAAGAAACGTAAGAAAATATAGACTTCTGCTAGTAACAGCAACAGACTGTCATTACCATCAAACGTAAGCCAATGTCAGAAGTTTGGTTGTGAACTGTGTTGGTAAACCATCTATTTCAAACAAAGTTACCTCTCTACTTTGATGTTTACAGAGATGAGAGATAATTATATTAAAGTTTCATTGGAGGAAGTTATTGCATATAAGTAGGGTTAAACCTTCATCAACTGAACAATTCAAAGACCTCTTCTTTTAGTATGCAAATATTTAAATATTGGAAATAGATGAAATGTTAAAACTGGTCATGATAACTTAGACCTTAGTGTATTTCAATTCTTTCGTGAAACTAATCAGTCAAAATAAAATTGTTCAAATACCTTTAATAGGGAGGTGGCCCCCGAGCTCTATGCAGGCAACATTGAACTCTTCAGAGGATTTGTTACCTGTGGGGAAATGAGTGGTTTCTTCAATAACGTTCTGTCGGACAGATCGACATAGACATTGAACAAATTAACATGTCACCTTATGAAAATGAAGAAGGAATAACTCAAGGTTCGAACTCTACAACCTTGGTAAGAAGAAAAAATACATTTTAAAAATATCTGAAGTTAAAAACAAATTATTTAAAGACAATTGTTAAAGCTCACAAGCATGACCAGAAATGATGAAGTCTTGACAATGAAAACATGTTATAGCTGACAAGCATGACCAGAAATGATGAAGTCTTGACAATGAAAACATGTTATAGCTGACAAGCATGACCAGAAATGATGAAGTATTGACAATGAAAACATGTTATAGCTGACAAGCATGACCAGAAATGATGAAGTCTTGACAATGAAAACATGTTATAGCTGACAAGCATGACCAGAAATGATGAAGTCTTGACAATGAAAACATGTTATAGCTGACAAGCATGACCAGAAATGATGAAGTCTTGACAATGAAAACATGTTATAGCTGACAAGCATGACCAGAAATGATGAAGTCTTGACAATGAAAACATGTTATAGCTGACAAGCATGACCAGAAATGATGAAGTCTTGACAATGAAAACATGTTATAGCTGACAAGCATGACCAGAAATGATGAAGTATTGACAATGAAAACGCCTATATTGCATATGAGTGTGATCCTGATTCACAATAGCAACTCGTAACAACTAGTATGCTTTACAAGAAGAAAACCAGTAGTTTATTTTAGCCACACATTAATTTATCTTTATCTACCATATTAATTATTAAAATATAAAATTATATAAAGATAATGACTGATTTGAATAAGGTCATGTAGCTTAAGATTATAAATATATTATCAAGCTAAAATGTTTTGCTAGCAATCTTATGTTATTAAAAAAATATATATATATATGTGAGTATCGTAAAGTCTACATACAAATGGTGCACGTTTAATGATAATCTAAAAAGCTTGAGAGCTCTTAGCTAATTAAAAGCAAGTTAGTTTAAAAACAGTGAAGCAATTTTTATATGAGAATTTAACTGAATATTACAGTATTAAATCCATTTTTTAATTCTTCCAAATTTCTTTTTCTCTAAAAGCATTGTAAAGATTAACATTTCTTGGAAAGAGTTCAATGAACATCTAAATGAAAAATGTCCCCCGGGGGGGGGGGGTGTCAAAAGAGGGAATGAAAGACAAATGCTCCAGTTCCCTTCAATCTACAGAACTGATCTATGACATGATAATGTACTTAGCAATCTCCAGCATTGATCTATGACATGGAAATGAACTTAGAAACACCTGAAGAATATTGAAAATATTTTGTAGTATTTTAATTAAAAGAGAGTGGGTAATCTTTTTGGGTAATGTGGGCTCAATAGAAATTATATAAAAAGCGTGTTGCTTGTTGCGACAGATTTTTTTTCACTTGCATAACCACAACTTTCGTCTCATTGATCTGAGAATGATTAATTTGGGTTAAGTTCAAAGCTTTATGTTACGCTTGATTGATCTTGGTGTTGAATGTCCTTACTATTTCAACATGTATTACGGCCTTTAGAATACCATCACAAATAATACATTTTTAACTTAATCCAATGTATTTATTTTAATTTTTAGTTTTATGAATATTTATGAATAAATGTTCTGTTTGAGAAATTATTTCAAATTTTGATAAAATCTAGAAATTTAAAAACTTGAAATCTTAAAGTAAATATTTTTATGTTATTGAGCAGATTGTGAGAGAATTTATGAATTAAAAAGTAATATTATTTTATGTTTTCATTAACAATTTTCAAACTTTAGCAGCAAAGTATATATTCCATTATGTAAACAACAAAGTGAGATCAAAGACCTCTTTGCGACCCTTTGTGTCAAAATTTCCGCTATTTATTTAGTTAAGTAGTAATGCGCTACATTTTTTTAATGACATGAACTTTCATACTCCAAATTTTCAAATCAGTTCAATTAAATTTGATGCTAGAAAAAAAAAAGACATTTTCTAAAAATGTTATCACACAAATTGTTGAAAATGTGCACATAATCCAATTTTAAATAGTGTCATCCTCTCTTAATTCCTGAAATTTTTAAAAAAAATTGTATCATGAAATTTTTCCAGTGTTTATGTTGAGTACCATACAATTTGATCAAGTTCTGCTATGTGAATGTATTTCAAAACCTAAAATGAAAATATAAAGATATTATTTCTAAACATAACTTAATAATTGTCCAATATTTTACAAACTCTTAGATTTTACATTTATTATGCTCTTTGTCAAGCACATACCTAAGATCATAAAAGTAATTTTTTTTCAAAAAATCAACAGGAATTAAGTTTAGCTCTCATCAATATGATTTTTAAAAAGTGTTAAAAAGTTATCTAATGTTTATTTTTAATATAAATTATATATTATTAATAGATCATATATAAAGTGCACTGTGAAACTATTGACTCATTTGATTAAAGAAAGCAGTCCATCAATTTCAAGTCACCAAGAGAAGAGAAATGATAGAAATATAATAAAAAGTTCCAGCCAGGTTAATTATTGCCACTACATTGATTGTAGGTATTCAAATGCAGGATTATACCAAAAAGGGACGCCATCTCTGGACTTTTCATCTCCCTCAATACTCACATGTGTATTCAGTTCCCCCCTCACACACGCAGTGCTCTGTATTAAAGTGCTCATTATGGATCCCTTTTGTTTTTAAAATAGTTTTTTTGAAAGTAAATTATTAACTGCTAAGTAAAAAATAACTAAAATATTAAAATAAAAATAACTATCAGGGCATATTCCCAACAACCAGTGAGTGCCGTTAAACAACAGGTGGTAGAAATAGTTGATTAAAGTAAATGTACCATTATAAACCAAGTAAGTCATATTTACAACCAACTATACACATGTAGAGTTAGTTTTTTTCATTAAAGAAAAAATTAAAATATATTAAGTGGTGCTTATTGTAAAATAGTCCCATTTAAATAATTTTCTTAAAATAATTTTCTTAGTCCCATTTAAATAATTTTCTTAAAATAATTTTCTTATTCCCATTTAAATAATTTTCTTAGTAGCATTTAAATAATTTTCTTAGACCCATTTAAATAATTTTCTTAAAATAATTTTCTTAGTCCCATTTAAATAATTTTCTTAGTAGCATTTAAATAATTTTCTTAGACCCATTTAAATAATTTTCTTAGACATATTTAAATAATTTTCGTAGTCCCATTTAAATAATTTTCTTAGTAGCATTTAAACAATTTTCTTAGTCCCATTTAAATAATTTTCTTAGTCCCATTAAAAAATTTTTCTCTCTTATCTGAATAATCTGGACAAGGTTTAGTACATAAATAACCTACACATAGTTCTTAAAATAAAATTATTTCGTCTATTTTTTCATTTCCTTTCTAAACATTGCTACATCATACTGATGTCTGACATCATACCCATGTCTTACTTCATACCTATGTCTAGTCTAACATCATACCTTTGTCTAACTTCATACCAATGTCTGACATCATACCCATGTCTGACATCATATCCATGTCTGACATCATACCCATGTCTGACATCATACCCATGTCTGACATAATACCAATGTCTAGTCTAACATTATACCCAGTTCTAACATCATTCCCAGGTCTAACATCATCCCCATGTCTCACATCATACCCATGTCTAGCATCATACCCATGTCTAACATCATACCCCTGTCTAACATCATACCCATGCCCATAACAAAGCATACAGTTTGAAAAACAAGCTTAGAATAATGGAGATATATTTACTTCACATTTTTAAGAAATAGGCATGGATTAAAAAGTGCTACATTTTATCGATTCTCCTTCACGAAAATGTGTCACTAGAAATTTATACGAAAATAATGATGTGGAAATATACCTATAAACTTTTTTCTTGGCCATATATACAGTCGAAGTGTTGTCAGAGTGCTGTTTCTTTCCTCACCAAACACCGTGCCACGACACATGAATATGTTGTGGGCGATGTCATTTTCATGAAAGTAAGTTGTTATCTTGTGTGCTCTTCTGTTTATCATTAAATGAGCATTATTACGTAATTATATTTAGATACGCCTGGTAATCATAATAATATATTTTATAGAATCTAAGATTTTAAAAAAATGACAAACCCCCCCCCCCCCCCCATTACTTTTTTGAATAAGAATTTACAATTGATCTTAAAGAACAAGACAATGTTTCAGTGATTTTTACTATAAGTTATTTCATGGAGGAGAATGTCACATCTAGCACACTCATAAGCCTAAATGAGTGATTAGATGTTCATCCCATTTAGGAAGCTTTTGGCTGATTTAGCCAACTGTCTCCATTGCCCACACAACAGATGTTTAATTTCTCTGTACCAATGATCTTTTCAAGATATAGTTTTGAATGAATTCCTTCAAACTACTTATATTGTAGAAAAATAGATGCCCAAGCTTTAACATTTTACATCCACACACCAAAGCTGTTGTAAGCCCCCCCTCCAGTCCACATGACTCATACAACATTGGCTAGTCAGAATCATCAGCCAGTCAGAATTTGAAATCAAATATTAATTGTAAATAGAAAGTGCCATGGTCAGAACCAAAGATATGAATCTTGAGAAGACAAATAATAAGGAAGCACATCATTATTTTCAGAGCTTTGCAGTCTCATTTAGCCTAATTTAGTTTGGCATGAATCACCAGTCAGTTTTCTATCATTATTTATTGAATTCAGGTCAAACGTACACACAAAATATGTTTTAAAAAAGATATGCTGGTTCCTTCCAGGTGGAACACCATACAGAAAATGAAAAGAAAACTTTTTTTTTTACAACCTGGGCTCAGTTCCATTTTTTTGCCGGTCTGGGTGTGTGCTCAATGTGCTAATACTTCATATATCCCGTGCTCGATGTGCTACTACTTCATATCTCCCGTGCTCGATGTGCTAATACTTCATATATCCCGTGCTCGATGTGCTAATACTTCATATCTCCCGTGCTCGATGTGCTAATACTTCATATATCCCGTGCTCGATGTGCTAATACTTCATATATCCCGTGCTCAATGTGCTAATACTTCATATATCCCAGCATCTGGGTCAGTACCCGGTTCAGTCATAGTAATGAAATACAAAAACTAATGTGAGGATAATGTCTTACTTTGCTAATTCTTGTATTGAAGAGCCGTGCAGCTGCAGGGCAAAGCCGGGACATGGAATGGTTGTAATTTCAAAGATCTTTCCCCCTAGTTGTTGCACTGGCTGCAGAAAATACATTTTCTTTGATTTTTAAAAAAATTATATTAAAATATTTGTGCAAATTCAAGTCTCAAGCAAATATTTACAACAGATAGCAAAACAATTAGGTAGTGATTTTTCTAAATTTATTTTTACTTTTTAACAGAATAAGTTTATAAACCAGTAACACCTTTATGAAAATATGTACTAGTGTGATTTAATTTATTTAACAATACTTATTTTTTGGCTTTTATTCTCAAAATATAATCAGTAAATAAAATATTTTACTGAAGTGCTGTTCAAAAATATTTTACAGCAGTGCTGTCCAGTCTATGTCCAGCGAGCTGATTTTAAATGGCCCGCCACAGCTTGAAAAATGTTTGTGAAAGACACTTTAGGATGAAAATATTGTCAAACCACATAACTACATGAGAGGTTGTATGTAGCATTATGAATTTCCACAACTATGAAAACGTTGTAGCAAAATTTTGACAGTGTTTTTGAAAGCAGCCAACATCAGTGAAGCTGTATTCTCTGTAATGACCAACATCAGGTCCAGAAAATGTAACGCTACAATGCAAATCCAATTCAAAGAAAAATACGCAAATCCAATTCAAAGAAAAATACATCATTAAAAAGGGCTCCAGTTTTTATTCAGTTTATTTCTATTCTTGATGAGCTAGCTGATAGTGCTATTGGATAAATGACTCTTTATCCATAAGGTAAGAAGCATTAATTTATGTGGAATACTTTTCTAAAAAGTAAAAATAATCAAATTTCCTTTTGAGATGTCATGTGCGACCCTCAGCTTGGCTGAACAAATTTGTTTGGCCTATGTAGTCGACAGGTTTGGACGGCACTGTTTTTAATGATTGGATCAAAAGGATTTGACAAAATTTTAACTTGTATTTCATAAATATGATTTTTATTAGTAACATTTTCTCAAAGAAACAAAGTCCACTATAAGTTCATAAATGTGTTCACTTACGCAGTAGTCCACTATAAGTTCATAAATGTGTTCACTTACGCAGTAGCCCACTATAAGTTCATAAATGTGTTCACTTACGCAGTAGCCCACTATAAGTTCATAAATGTGTTCACTTACGCATTAGTCCACTATAAGTTCATAAATGTGTTCACTTACGCAGTAGTCCACTATAAGTTAATAAATGTGTTCACTTACGCAGTAGTCCACTATAAGTTCATAAATGTGTTCACTTACACAGTAGTCCACTATGAGTTCATAAATGTGTTCACTTACGCAGTAGTCCACTATAAGTTCATAAATGTGTTCACTTACGCAGTAGTCCACTATAAGTTAATAAATGTGTTCACTTACGCAGTAGTCCACTATAAGTTCATAAATGTGTTCACTTACGCAGTAGTCCACTATGAGTTCATGCTCCAAATAATAGACATGAAAATGGAGGTGATTAACAGAGGCAAAGGCACATAAACTGTTGAATCCCATGCGAAAGCCCCTGAAAAGATTTGTGGAAATACCATTTGTAGAATTTAACACATGGCTATTGGAACAGAATTTTAGTAGATCTTTTCAAGATGAAAATATTAATGCGTGTCATAGAAGATTGAAAAGTTTTTCTTAAACTCCAAGGTAGAGTAATATTTCTTAATGACCAACATAGAGTAATGTTTTAAAAAGAGAGAAAAAAATGAATGCAGCACAAGAAGTTAGTAACCTAAATGAACTAGAAATTGAACTGGCTGGTCCATTATTTTACCTATGCTTGCTGAGCAACATGGTTTCTATGGCAACCGTGACAGCTGTTTCAGTCAGCACCTAATGAAAGAAAGAAATTGATACAAAATAATATTCAGTATATAAAGAATAAAGCATGAGTTTACAAAACCAAGAGGTTGTTTAGTGCAGTTGCGATCTCCCTCAACTTCTTGAAATATTTTAGTACCGTTGTTCTGGAGTCATTTTAAACATGACACATTTCAAATAACTTGCCAAAAAAAGTATTTTCCATTCATATAGATTATTTAACAAACATGTCCCTACTCCTCTTAACTATATACTAAGAAGTAGCAGGAAGACTATGCCTTGAATTTCTAAATAAACCATTTGTTCGCATAAGATTATTTTAATGAATCCAAATAAATGGAGAAGTTTTCTGATTACATCATACAAATTCATTGTAAATATTCTTACCAAGAGAACATTATTAAACTAGGACAATTTGAACACAAGACATCTATAGAACAATTTGAACACAAGACATCTTAAGTATTTCTCAAGCACAAAAAGCAGTCATTATTCTCCAGGATTGTTTATATTACCTGTGGCCGATGCGAGTCAATTTGTGGTACCAAAAGACAGTGTCCATACTCCATAGGGCTGACATTGACTATTAGTGTATGTCTTTCTGGTTGATCTTTCAACTTCCCGGGGACATCAGTGTTAATAAATTCCTTTTTAAAAAATCAACATAAAACAAATATTATCAACAATAAAGTGCTTTTAAATGTTAATTTTATAATGTGCTTTAATTCAAGTAACTTTCACATACATTTTTTACATCATTATTTAACATCCCGTCCATGTGGCCTTACAGCCCATGGAGAGCTTTGGCCTGCCTCACCACTTCCTTCCATTCACACCATCCATCCATCCCTGTGGCCTTACAGTCCAAGGAGGGCTTTGGCCTGCCTCACCACTTCCTTCCATTCACACCATCCATCCATCCCTGTGGCCTTACAGCCCATGGAGGGCTTTGGCCTGCCTCACCACTTCTTTCCATTCACACCATCCATCCATCCCTGTGGCCTTACAGTCCATGGAGGGCTTTGGCCTGCCTCACCACTTACTTCTATTCACACCATCCATCCATCCCTGTGGCCTTCAGCCCATGGAGGGCTTTGGCCTGCCTCACCACTTCCTTCAGCTCAGACCTAACTGATGCTTTTCTTTCCCATGCATGGACTCCCAGCTGATGTAGATCTCTCTCCACATTATCCATCCATAACTAAGCCCAGGTCTGCCTCTGAACCATTTTCCTCTGGGGTTTTGGTGGTGCACCCTCTTCACTCCTCTGTCATTTGGCATTCTTTCAAGGTGTCCCACCCAGCCTGGCCATTTTTTATTTCTGCTACTAGCGTTGGGTCCTGATACAGACTGTACAATTCCTGGTTGGCTCCTATTCTCCATCCATATTCATCCTTTTTTGGTCTTTATATTTTCCGGAGAACTTTTCTATACCACGTGTTTAATAGGTTTTCTGCCGCTTTTGGTAGGGTCCAAGTTTCACATGCATATATTAAAACTGACCTGAATACAATTTTATATATTGTTTTCTTTGTTTCTCTTGTAATGTTTTTACTTTTGAGTATTTGACTCATTATTTAACACTATCTGCTAAAATCTCAAGTTTTAGGTTTAGGCAAACAGAAACCAATCCTAATGAAAAGAGAACAGAAGACAAACCCCAAGGGCCGGTCTCCCATGATCTTTTATATAAACGAAACAGGCACAACCGAGGTGTGATTGCAGACATTTCAAAATGAACATTGAAACTGACAACTTAATCATGTAAACAAATGCTTGATGGCATAGGAAGCTTTAAGTTTAAGATGACCACCACTTTCATAGAGGTTTGGCATAATGCTCAGTTCACACGATCATAATTTCGATCATGCATTTAATGGGATTTTTGTATGATGCTTTGTCACAACTTTCTAATTACTATTTGATCAAATTCTCATTTTTCCCCCCCAAAAAAAAAGAAACCATGCACAATATAGTGACACAAATTGGATCGTAACAGTCTCAATATTTAAGTACAAGTCTCTCTATTTAAGTATAAGTCTCAATATTTAAGTATAAGTCTCAATATTTAAGTATAAGTCTCAATATTTAAGTATAAGTCTCAATATTTAAGTATAAGTCTCAATAAAGACTGAAGTAGGAAGCTATAGTGACTATTAAACTAATTCTTAACATATCAAATTAACGTGGCATTTGTTGACCCTCATTTACCTCAGACGAGTGACCATTCACTAGATCATCTTTCTGGCAGTCTGTAGTGTGATTATTGGCAGCACCGTTTAATAAGGCACTGCTAACTGACCCCCTGACTTGTTTTTTGCCAAGAGTTGTTGTGTTCCGTAGATTGAAGACAACCTCTTCAGGTTTAACCCAGGTGAAGTTAAATGCATTAGGATTAAAAGGTTGACAAACACTTGTTATCTCTTGGGGTTTTCTTCTTTCAGTGGCACGCAATGTATTTAACTATTGGGATAAGGAAAGATTACAAGAAAAGTTATAGGCAGGGTAAAAAAAAAGACTTAATGGAGTTAATGATATTAATCAACTAACTCTTTGATGGTATTAATGAGGCTATACCGTGTAATACTAAAGATAATGGACTCTGTCTCTCCTTATTTTTTTAATCCATTGACAATTATTTTCTTTCAAACTATTTACATTTCAAGACCAACAAGACTGATGCAACAAACTATCAGCAACTTTCAATTGTAAGGCTAAAAATTCATGATATCTGCCCAGCTCACTTGGTCAACTTTGTGTTTGAGACCAGATAATATTTGATAATTAACCTACAGTTGTCCCTTGCCATACTGCGGTTCACTTTTGGTGACACGCGTATTCTTATATCTAATATAGATACCTACGGTATATAGAATTTTATGTTGCTAAAATTAAGTAAGTTTATTAGTGTAGAAAGTGTTTAAGGCATAGAAAGTATTTATGAGAGTGTGCGAAAAGCTGATAACAGTGTGAGAAAAGCTCATAACAGTGTGGGAAAAGCTAATAACAGTGTGGGACTAGAAAATATAAATGAAAGGACTGCTTTCAAGCTTAGTAAATGAATAAAATGGCAAAACGAGGTATGTGTGAAGCTTGAATAAGATAACAGGACAAAAAACAGCCAACAGTAGAAATGAAAATATAATAAAGAATAGAGCACAGTAGACAACTCAAGAAGAATCCATTCGTGTCGGGAAAGGTTTAAACAAATGTGGAGAGGGTTTATAAAGCCTTCAACGGTTTTTTAAGGAAAATCAAGTTTGGCTATTAGCTTTGTTTTCAGACGTGATCAAAATCTGAGAGACCTCCTTGTGTCAAATCGCATCCACGCTGCCCCCTCCCACTTGGGACCAAGCCATTTAGACGCAGCCGTCGCAACACTTGCCCTTTTGTTGTCCAGACTCAACACATTCCCTTCCCTAAGGGCAGTTTTCAGATAAGGGACGGTTTCCTTTGTACTAGCCGCAATAATGTCTATGCCATTGTCTGCACCCCCTGCCAGGTGTCCTGCATAGGGAAGACAGGACGCAGACTCTCTGACAGATGTACTTAACACGTTGGTAATATTACACAAGATAAATAGTGTCCAGTCTGTAAACACTTCAATAGAAGCAACAATAAGGGCACGGTGGATTTTTACAATTAGTGCGATTGTGACCAGCACAAACACATCCGGCTGGGTGAATTTGGAAAACAAGCTGATCCAGGCTTATTGAACCTTAACACCACATGGCATGAATCTCATGTTTTCATTCATATGTTAAGCCTTTGCTCCGCCCCTTCACGTCACACCTAAACACAATGGACTTACTTCTCTTTTTTTTCAATTTTTGCCTGTTTTTAATCTCTCACCTACTTATTTTCTGCCACAATTCTTTTGCCGCCCTCTCGGGTAAGTGCTATCTTTTATTTAATTCTGTTTTTGTTGTCGTGTTTGCTGACGAAGGCTTCCTGCCGACATGTTCGTTGTTTTGTTGCGTTTCTTTTTAAAAAATTTTTTCCCATACTTTATTTTACTCATTCTCTAATTTGCTAACCTGACAGCAGTCCCTGCCCCTTATTGCCATAAAATTCTTGTAACAATACTTTAAACTTTATGAATTAATATATGTGCCCAGCTTACTTGGCCAACTTAGTGTTTGAGACCAGGTAAAATTCGTATAACAATACTTTATGAAATAATATATGTGCCCAGCTTACTTGGCCAACATAGTGTTTGGGGCCAGGTAGAATTCTTGTAACAATATGATCAATATTGTAACGGAACACTCCAGTGGCCATTGCATGATCCCATCTTTTATGAAGCTCAAGATCAAACTGAAAAAACAAAAGACATTTGATTGATGACCAGAGTCCTGAATGTTCTCTCTCTTGTTGTGTATCAACGACTATTACTGTTAGCCCTTGGTCAAATAACTACACATTCCTTATAAATATAAATAACTGGCCACATTTGTTTGAAATTGACAAACTTTGAGATACAGAAAGAGTAATGAGCAGTTACTTTATAAATGCACATACTTTTAATAAATTTTATTGGTTCTCTGCAATATATCATGTCATAAATTTTTGTACCAGTACTTACATCAACGACTTCTCACAAAATACCATATAAAAGTAATGCAAATGCAAGGGAAAACGTATTCAGGTGCGTACCTTGCTGAGCTGTTGAGGTGATGTATCTTCCCATGGGGAAGTATGAAACGTAAAATCTGAATGTGTGTAAGTATATGTGTACGTATTATCCTCGCTGTTACCCTGTGGGCAATTGAGAGAAGCAATAAGAGACTCACACATCTTTAAATCACAACACTATTTTATATTCCAATTAGAAAGGGCAACAATGACAAATAGTATCATTCATCCCATTCCTGAAATTTTATTAAAATATCAATTAAAGATAACTCATCATTTTTATTAACACAGAAAAACTATTGTTAACCAGAAACTTACAGCAGTCATTAATGAGTTTGTTTGACATAAGGCATGAAGTTTGACCTTGAACTGAAATATACTGCGTCTGTAAATGCTACAGAATTTTCCTGGAACCATCTTAAATTCCCCTGCAGGTTACCTCCTTTATAAAAAAAATATTGTTCCTCTGTCACAAAATCAAAGTAAAACATTAATTTCTGTATAATCTTCAGCAATGTTTCAAGACTTTTTTGATACACTCCAATAAATGCTCTGTATCTTGTATAGCTAGCTTTCATTGTATTGGGCATGCATGCAGCATGTGTTTTGAACCACTGCTAAATAAACAACAATTTGTTTATCTTAATTTACTGCATCACCAGCTTGCTGGACTGTTCATATCTTCTTAATAATAGATTGCTATTTGTTTATATAGCACACCATCATTTAAAATGAACACTTCACAGTTTAACACTTGCTAAATAAAATTTAATTTTTAACATATATTTTGTTCTTTTTGTTTGTGGTTTAATTTTTTACCTATTTTCAGATAAAATATTCAAGCTCCCCTGAAGCACGCAAAATGCTTGGTCATGCAATGAAAACATTATTTTGTTAAAAGCATTACTACTGTATTAAATAATTTTTGAGGATTTTGTTTCCATTCTTGTCATCAGAATGAAAAAAAAAATTAAAAAATTAATAATACAATAGCTGTTCACTATCCCTGAAAGCATGTAATCATTTGTAAGCCCTCCACCTAAGAAAGCCAATTCATTAGTAAGATGAGATGCTTTCTGCTAAAGCCTCAATTTTAAACAAGGCAATTTAAAATAAAATTGAAATAGAGGACAATAAACCATTTTAAAATAATTTTATTCAAAGACTTCTTTCATGTGTAATTTGACTTAGGCTACCTGTTTGGAAGTCATGGCTGTTGACAGTCAGCTAAGGATATTTGGAAGCCCCTGAAATAAAAGGACAACAATGTATGAAACTTAATATTCAGCTAGTCTATAACAAAATCAAGTGTTATAAGGCTTATGCAAATGGACACAGATTATAAGACCAAAAAGTCTTTAATTTTGTTTAAAATATTAAACCTTTTTACACTAAGTCCCTGATACAGAGATCTTACAACAGGCAGATTGTATCAGAATCCACACCTTCCTACAAAAAGGATGAGCCAGATGGGCAGGGCATGTCACAAGAATGCCACACTGCAGACTCCCCAAAGGACTAATGTTTGGAGAACTCTTCAGTGGGAAAAGCTCAGCTGGTGGTGGGCACAAAAAAACATTTTAAGGACTGTCTAAAAGCTTCACTCAAATCCATGGACATTGACCTTGATTCATTGGATGCACTTGCCAATTTTTAAAAATTATTTTCTACTTTTTAGCTTGTTTTAATTTGAACTCTTCTTTGATAGAAAGTCTTTTGATAGTTTTTAAAAGTATATTTTATTTTCTAATTTTAAGTATAGATTGGTAATCTTTAAATTATCAACAAAAGTAGAATTATTTTTAAATGCTTAAAAAATCCTGGTTAAAGTGACTTAACTCTTTACCAAAGCATAAAACTAAAAAGTAGACCTGAGCTCACTCACCCATTTTTGCAAAGAAACAGATGAGATCAACCACAAGAATTTAAGGGAAAATGTCAACCCGCATCTATCAACTCTTCTTTTCCAACAGTTCACCAATACAAAGCACGATAAAGACTAAATCTTAAATTGTCACGTGTATAAACAAAAAAATAAGTGTAGAAAATTCTAAAAGACTGAAATGATACCGCTCCACAAGAAGGAAATGCAAGTAGAGGAGGGTGACCAAACATCCTGTAAAAACGAGATTGTCCCGAAAAAGTCTCTCGGGACGCCTCAGTGTACCATTACTAAAATCAAACACATTTTTTGGGGGGGAGGAGAGAAAATGTGTTCATAAAAAAAAAGAATATTAATGAAAAGGAAAGAAACAGGGAGACACATGAATTAAATTGCATTGGACTTTAAAACCTAAAAAAAAATTAAGAAACAGACATTCTCTGGGGAGGGGAGACCCCTCCCCTATTTAACAAAAACTATATAATAATAAAACAATCGATTCCTAAACCTAACCTGATTCCTAAATCAATCCCTAAACCTAGCCCAAACCCTAAAACTAGCCCTAAAGCCGCGAGTAAAAACATGTGGAATTTACACCCTGTGACAGAAAAACTAGGAAAATGAACAAAAACAAGAGAAATGGCCAAAAATGATTATAAAATAAAGAAGAAATAATGAAAACCCAACTTACAGCTTCATGAAATACACTTTTACACACTTTATTTCAGTTTTCACAGAAAATAATATCCACAACATGACGATGCAAAGAAAAAAATATTTTTTTTGAACTTACTGCGATGGCGTTAAAACAATCAACTGACGTAACATTTAAGCACTCCTTTCTACATCCGCATCATGTTAAAGTACAAAATAATAATAATAATTTATCTATTTTTCAGTAATATTTTGAACATTCTCAAATTTCCAATCGCTCAAACTGACACTTAATAAACAAACTCCAATTTGCCGCCACTGCTTTGTCAACAAAAACAATAAAATATTAAATAAGGGAATTGACTCCCAAATGTAAACAATACCCAAAAGATGCTGTGGCAGCCGTCCTCGGTTTTACCCGCCAAATGCAGTTAGCATCACAGTCGGCAACGTTTTCCACTATTATAGGGCTTTTCTTATTATAGACTATAGGGTAAAAGTGCAGTTCAGGTGCGTATATGATTTCTTAACGCATTTCGTATTTTAAAATTTTTTTATCATGTAAACTTATGTGTATTCTTTAATAATTTAATACAGGCAGTTATAGTTAACTAATTCTGAATTATAAGTCGCATCTTTTCTTTTTATTTTACTTCTAAAGCGTCTTTAACCTTCCCCCAACCAAAGTGAGACAGCCCCATTTGTTTGTATTTTTCTTTTCACTCTATGCCAGATTATTAGCCACCTATAAGTTAGTATGCTAAAGGAAATTTTCAAACTGTAAGCATGTTCACAAAAAAGAATGAAATACTAGATTTTTCATTACGCACAAGCACCCCCCCCCCTTTCTTTTTTCATCTCAGAGCGCTCGGGATATAGGGGTTTGTCCTTTGAAATCGGGTGGGGGGGGGGG